ATGATGCCATAGCAGCTTCACTTGTGGTATAGCCGAAAGAATTGTGTGTTTGGAATCACTGGAGCTGGTTGGCTCTTTTAAACCCTGGAGAAGACCTTGGCTTGAGACTTGGTTCTGTGACTTTGACCAAGTCATTAACTTGCTTGATTCTCTGAGTTACAATTTCCAAATTAAAAAAAATGGAATAATAATTTGTATGGAATTAAGTGAGATGATGTCTTCCAAATGCCATGCAAGAGAAACCAAACCCGTTGCCACTGGGTTGGTTCTGACTCATAGTGACCCTATAGGACCAAGTAGAACTGCCCCATAGGGTTTCTAAGGCTATAAATTTTTACAGAAGCAGACTGCCTCATCTTTCTCCTGCAGAGTGGCTGGTGGATTTGAACTCTGACCTTTTGGTTAGTAACCAAATGTTTTAACCACTGTATTACCAGAGCAACTCATACAAGGGAAGAAATTGTAAGTCACCTTCATTGAGTCTTCTATATTATTTATTTTTCATTATGTAGAGATAATCTCTTAGTAACCTGGTTTTAACTTTTTATTCAGACAGTAACCCACAGTCCATCCTATCAAAGATGTGCTAGAAGTGGCGGGACAGAGTATCTTCTGGATATATTGCATTAAATATGAGGATATTATGCACAGCTACACTTAACTCCAGCTCCAACAGGCAGTGTCATTTTAAGCTTGTGAGGGCGTAGTGAAGCAAGTGAGAGGGTGGGCTCCGGAGTTGGAATGCTTGCATTGAAATTCTGTTTCCACCACTGTGTGTCTTGGACAAGTCATTTAATCTTTCAGACTCAGTATTCACATCTGTAGAATGAGAATAAGAACACCCAACATAGAAGGCTGTACGAAGTAAATGAGATCAATTAAAGTGTGATGCTTCTAACTCATTATGACGAAACTGCTCATTAAGTGTGGGCTGTTATTATAATAATTATTTTAACTATTACCTCACCATAGAATTTGCCCTCTTCCCATTTTTTGCATTCAGTAGGATCAAGAATTTCTGCCTTTTCACACTCACTCATTAGGTCCTTTCTCAAGGGAACAAGGTGACACCTTGTTGATCCCTCTTTTAAAGAGGGCAGTGTTGGGGAAAGGCAATGATTTAAATCAAAGTGAAGGAGACACTAGAGATATATCCTAGAGAAATAAGAGCTGTGGCATGAACAGATGTATGCACACCATGTTCGTTGCAGCACTCACTATTCATAATAGCAAAAAGATGGAAACAAATGCCCATCGTGGATGAATGGAGAAACAAACTGTGGTACATATACACAATAGAATACTAATGCAACGTTAAAGAGTAGATTAATCTGCAAAACACCTGATAACGTGGATGAGCCTAGAGGACGTTACATTGAGAGAAATTAGTCAATTACAAAAGGACAAATATTGTATAGGACCAATACTGTAAAACGTCCAGAAAAGGTTTACATACGGGAAAAAAATTAAAAAATGAAGTGAAGGAGACAAAGAGGAGAGTATTAAGTAGGGAAGAGACCATTTCTTCATGACACAGTAGAGCTCTAGCCATCCTATCTGGCTGCCTTTCTCCATCCTTCCTTCTTCTGTCCTTCCTAAAATTTCAAGCCTACATATAACAGCATAATGAATCTCTGTGTATTCATCACCCATGTTCAATGAGAGTTTTTTAGGACTCATTTCTATCAGGGACCAGGAGGGAAGAAAATAAACAGAAAAATCTAGGCTGAGCTAGAGACAGGTGCTTACTTGCTTACTCATGTAGTGGTATTTATCTCCTGAGTGATAAAGAAATTCTCTTGTCACAGAATCTATTCATATCTTTAGGTTGAGGAAAACCTAAGGACTCAGGATTGAGAGTGATTAAAAATGGAACCAAATCAGTTGCCATAAAATTGATCCCAAATCATAGTGACCCACGTGTGTCAGCGCAGAGCTGTGCTCCATCGGGTCCCCAGTAGCAGATTTTTTGGAGATAGAGTGCCGGGCCTTTCTTTTGACATGTATCTGAATGGACTCCAGCCTTTCAGGTAGCAGTTGAGCATGTTAACTGTTTATACCACCCAGGGACTCTGTGCAGTTTTAGGCATGTCATTTAATTCTGTTTCCTCATTTGTGAAGGATAGCGTTGGTGACCTCTGAGGGTGGCTGTAATGGAGCACTTGGAATAAGGCCCGACACCTAATAAGTAATCAGTTAAAATGTTAGCAGTTTTCTGGGTGGTGTTATGTTTGTTGAAGGGAAGGGTCACCAACCAGGATCTGGAAAACATGGAACTGAGACATGCACCTGTGGGCCAACAAAATAGCCTTACTTTTTCCTATTTGGAAAAACAGTCTTTACTTTCTCTTTGATAAAGAATTGTGACTAACAATTATTGTTGTTAGGTGCCATTGAGTTTATTCCAACTCAGCCATCCCATGCAATAGAATAGAACTGTCCGACCCACTAGCCACTCCTTGGAAGGAAGGTTGAGCAACCTATTTCCATAGTGATACTGCCTCAGACACCCAAGAAAGGGTTGCTATGAGTCAGGTCCGACTTGACTTGACAGCAGATAACAACAACAACATAGGTTTTCTTGGCTGTAATCTTTACAGGAATGAATTGCCAGGTTTTTCTCTTGCAGGGCCACTGGATGGGTTCAAACCACTGACCTTTTGATGTTGTGCTAACCATTGTGCCACCAGAGTTCCTTGTGATGGTGCTAATTTCGTAGAAGTACATTTACTGTATATCCAATAACCCAGTTTTACTGGCCATAACAGTCTCTGCCCTAGATTTTGTCTGGGTTAAGGGAAATGATTGGCTGTCTCCAAAATTAGGTAACATACTTGTTTCCCGAAATTTCCACTGTTTTTGGTGGTGGTGATAATACTTTTTCACTTAAACCAATGTCATTTGTGTGAAGAAACATTTAATGTATTTAACTATAAATAAAAATCACCATGACTTTAGAGGAATACAGATTTATATACTTTGGCTTCAGGATCTAAATGAAACATGGACCTCTTTTCATTTTCATTCCTTGGACTCGCAATAAAGGTAACAGGTATGACTTTGCCTTAGGATGTGGAAAGCATATGGAAATCAGGAAAAGGAAATTGTAGGTCCTCATGTGTTTTAAAATTATATTTTATAATTGTATAGAGCCTTAGATTTTTGTTGTAACATTTTTATTTTTGAATCAAGTCTGGGTTATATGCAAGTTTTATTTTTTCATGATTAATTTTTTTTTTTTTAATTTTTTACAAATCTGCAGTTCTGAAAATACAAGGATGTTTTCAGTGTTTCTATGCAAAAATATCATAAAAATAAAATAAATTGTTTTAAAATAATTAACAGTTGAGTCAGAATATTCTTGTTTCTTCAAGGATCCTTACATGATTTTGTGTCACAATTTGTACAACAGAGCATGTTACACAGAACAGTTTAATATATGTAGTGTCTAAGGCATTTGACTGCTAACCAGAAGGTTGGCGGTTCAAACCCACCAGCCCTCCTTGGAAGGAAGAATGGGCAATCTGCTTCCATAGAGATACCACCTCAGAAACCAAAGGAGGGGTTGCTATGAGTGGGATTCGACTTGATGGCAGTGAGTTTGGTTTTTTGGTTTAGTGCAATAGAAAAGGAGCTCTGGTGGCACTGTGGTTAAGGCACTGGGCTGCTAACCAAGAAGGTCGGCAGTTCGAACCCACCAGCCACTCCACAGAAAAAAAGATGAGGCAGGTTGCTTCCATAAAGATTTACACCCCTGGAAACTGTAGAGAGTTGCTAGGAGTTGGAATCAACTTGATATCAGTGAGTGAGTGCAACAGGAACAGTTTTTCTTATGCTCAAATCAGATAGATAGCTTGAAAATTTTCTTGGGTTTTCTCTATTAAATTCAGTTGTGAAAATAAATTCAAATGTAAAATTCCTAAGGCTGAGCCCGAGAAATTTCTAAATACGCTAATTTTTCCATTGTTTAGAATTAGGTCAATATAATTCTATAAGCAGTTTATAAGCAGCCCTTGCTTACAGCTTCTTTCTAGAATTTTTTTTTTTTTTTTTGTAATTTACACATTCTTAAAATTAGTCTTTGTATCAAATGAAGGGAAGATATGAGTTACTTGATAAGTAAAACAACTCTTTTCTTCACTATCTCATTCTTTTTAATTTGTTTGTTTTTATAATTCTCTTTTCTCCAAGAGTCTGTTTTATTGGAGAGAAGGTGAGGCAGATAAATGTATTACTAGCAGCACAACACAAATCACCTAGGTTTGGGTTCATTTGGAACTCCCTTCCCCACTCTTAGTTTGATAGCCCGTGTTTTAAGTGTTGGGGTGTTTGTGCCCCATGTGACTGCAAATCTAAAAGTGACACACATTTGTGAAAAGGCCGCCTGGCTTACTGTAAGGGTGAAGAAGTCCACCCTTACTAGGCAGAGGAAAATAAAAGTAAGCAACGAGTAGGGTTAAAGTCATGATGTTGGAGTTACTATTGATAGCTGAGCTCTTGGGCTGTGGTTTCCACTTTTACTGATAAAAAGAGAAGCACAGGTGCCAAGGAGTGTCCCAGCGATGGAGAGTTAAGTCTTTATTATCTAGAGGCTCTTTGGCTGAGCAGTTCTTCACGAACATGTCCTCTTTGCGCTTTCTGCTGCCTTCTTCATGCATCTGTACCAGGGCAAGAGCAGGGCAGAATAAATTCAATTCATGTTACCTTTTACTATTGGCTTTGGGAAAGGTTTTTTTTTATGGAAGAGGAGGTAGAATTTACTGCCTCTACTGCTGCCAGTCACTACAGATACATATGAGGAAGGGGCTTTTGGGACCCACAGACTTCTCTCAGCAGGTGGATTCTTTTCCCTTAGCTCTGTTTGTAATCCATTATTAAAATGGTAGCCTCTGGGCTCTTCCTTCCAAGAACCCTGAATGTGCATCAGTTTAGTGACCCTGGATGTTCTTCACAAGTATTCCCTTTCTCTTATTCCTTGGTGTTCTCTTCTCTCCTCACAGTCTTCTGTTTGTGCTAAGATTGTGCAACTTCTGGGACAGAATGAGGTCGACTGTCGCCAGAAGAAGGTAGTCATCCTGAGCCAGGATAGTTTCTACCGTGTCCTCACTGCAGAGCAGAAGGCCAAAGCCCTCAAGGGCCAGTTCAACTTCGATCACCCCGGTGAGTGGGGCTCCTGAAAGAGAGAGAGACAGAGAGAGAGAGTGAGTGTGTGTGAGTGTGTGTGTGTGTGTGTGTGTGTGTAGGTTGAGTAACTTAAATCTGTTATGATGAAGTTTCTTAACCTTTCAGGGACTCTGTCCCCATATATAAAATGGGAGATTGTTAACAACTTTGAAGGGTTATTAAAGGTGTCATAATGAAAGAAAAAATTCTGAAACACATTATGTTATGTTTGGTTTATTAAAAGTTGAATGAATCTGTGTCTGAATAAGGGTGACACCGTATGACCCTTTTACTCGTGGTGGGCTATGACAAAGGATGGAATGTACACATGGCTGCTGCTGCCGTCTCCGCTGTCTGAAGCAGCCTGTTTCATCACCACCACCCCAACCCTACCTCACATGTGTGCACACCCCAGAAGGAGAGGTAGGAAGATCTAGGTTGTTTAACAGAATAGTTTTTCCCTGACTGTCCAGAATAGCACATTGCAGCTTTAGTTGGTTTGTAGTTTGGGTTTCTTACAACTTTTGCAATTAAAACTTCTTAGCAAGGTGCTTATTGTGTGCCCTACAAGAAAGGGAAAGTTCTTATACATTCTGTGAATGAGAAAACAATGTACACTTGGTATTTGAATTTGAATTCTAGTCCATAAAGCCCAAATAGTTTTAAATGCCATCCAAGCACACATTATGTTCTACAAGGACGGGAACGTTCTCACTACCTTCTGTGAGTGAGAAAACAATATGGAAATTCTGCCATTAAAATATAGGAATTCAAAAGAGTGTTACATGTTTACATAGTATACTATGTGTTACTATGAAAGGAAATGTCCCAATTAAAAAGGAAAAACAAACTCTGTGGGGCAAAGGTTTACTCTGAGACACATGAGTTAGGATCAATTTGACAGCAATTTTTTTTTTTTTTTTTTTAAATAGTCATCATGCTTTCCAGGTTAACATATGCTATTCCCCAGAACAACAGCTGAATTTAGAATGGAGAGGATAAATGTCCAAGACCAAGGATGGCAGTGTTAGGAGAGAAAAAAGAAATCAGTGTATCAGAACTCATTCACAAGGATTTTTCATTCTGTATTGGGTAGAAATCTGCCTTTGATGGCTATGCTCCTGTAGGTATGATGTGTTTGCATTGCAAGGATTCCCTGTGCATGGTGCATGATTGCAGGAATCATGCAGGAGAAATCATTTTAAAATTAAGAAGCATTTTAATGGTTTGATTTCCTTCAGATGCCTTTGATAATGAACTCATCTTCCAAACACTCAAAGAAGTCACTGAAGGGAAAACAGTCCAGATTCCTGTGTATGATTTTGTCACACATTCCCGGTAAGTGAATTGTTTGGGGTCCAAGATTGCTGCCCTTTGCTCCACTGAGTGACTCAGTGCACTTAGATTTTCTCCCCCATTTTCTGCCCAGTCCTCTTGCAGCCTCCCTTTGAGGGGCAAGGGCAGGAGGATGCACCATGGGTGTGCATGAGTTGAAGAGTTCATCCAGACACTTCCTGGAACAGTCCAGTCATCAGGTTTCATTAACTTAAGGATAGGTCCAACAGTTTGGGCTTGGGTGAGGGACTGAACATTTATTCTGATCTACAGCCCTGAGCTGTTCTTGGAACAAGATGTTGCATCAGGAGGCAGGGTTAGAGCAAGGGCAGGAAGAAGAACAAAGAAGACTGTTCTTTTTGCTGTTGGTTTACTGGAGATGGGGTGATGTGGAGAGGTCTGAAGGCTCTGAGATCCCATAGGCACTGATCTCAGATTTAACCAGACTCTCCAGAAAGCTGCTCAGGGCCTTTCTTTCATACTTGTATACTTTCTTGAAGATTTATCTCAGTCAAGTAAATTGACCTTCTCCATTGAAGCTTCTAGTTTAATGATCCTGATCGGGAGTAGAAGTAGGGTGTGACCTCTATCCCCATCCTCTGAGTGGCAGAAATAGGCTCCTGAAGGATCCCTACTCCTGCTGGCAGGCCCTCAAGCCATTACACCATTGAGTTCCCTTCTGAGCTGTATAGAGCTTCCAGCTCACTCTTAATTTTAACATCACATCTTTTGGAATGTTCCAGCCAGATTTAAAACTTCTAAGTGGTGTTTAAGGAGCTCTGGTAGCATAGTGCCTAAGGCACTTGACTGCTAACCAGAAGGCTCGCAGTTCAAACCCACCAGCCACTCCTGAAGATGGGCAATCTACTTCCGTAGTGATACTGCCTTGGAAACCCAAGGAGGGGTTGCTATGAGTTGGGTCTGACTCGATGGCATGTAACAACAACAACAACAAGAAGTAGTGTTTTATATCAAGTGTGGTTCCTTGCATTTTTTAGGCTGGTGGTTGCTCAATAATTTTTCTTTTCCCCTAGCTCTAGGTTATTTCTCCTACTTGCTTTCTATTTTTCCTTCCTAGTTGCTTTATCTCACTCTAATGAGTTTAATTTTTTTTAAGTGGGAAATTAGAGCTCGTACCTCCTCTATTAGCAAGCATTTCTATTACTTCCTAGCCTGTCTTTAATATAATACACCACACATGGCTTTTTCTCATGAGCCAGATTGGGCAGAGGAGGGAGATGAGAGAACACTCATCACATAGAATGGAGCTGTTTCCCCACTCACCTTTATCCCTTATCTGTATCTTCTGAAGTACTTCCTTTTATGGGCCAGACTCTCCTGTGCTGGAGAGTCAAAGGATAAGATATCATGCCCACTTCTGTAATCATACCAGTCTGTTTTCCTAACTAAACCACTGTAGATATTTCATGAATAAAGAGGTGTGGTATAGGAAAGGGGCTAACGTGATCATTGAGGGGGCTGGGAGAGTGAATCTGGGAGGCTACAGTCAAATGATCAGAGTGAATAGCTTCTACCAACTCCAGCCTCAGGCACTTGGTGGAAGTCCTGCTGCATAAGGTGTTTATGTAGGCACTAGGAGCTGGAAGGGGAGCTCTGGTGGCATAGTGCCTAAGGCATTTGACTGCTAACTAGAAGGCTGGCAGTTCAAACCCACCAGCCACTCCTGGGAAGGAAGATTGGGCAATCTACTTCCGTAGAGATACCGCTTCAGAAACCCAAGGAGGGGTTGGTATGAGTTGGGTCCAACTCAGTGGCAGTGAGTTTGGTTTGGTGGAGCAGGAGGAGTTAGGACTCATGGGAGAGCCCAAGAAGCCACAGCCTTGAATGAGGAACTTGTGAAATGATTTGCAGAGTTTCCTTGTTGGGCTTTTAGGATCCTCTGAAAATTTTGGTGTTTGCTTCACTTGGATCTTCTACATCTCTGATGAGTTCCTCTCTTTGGCAAAATACCCCGGGGCTGCATAAGGAAAAGGTTTTTGGGTAATGCAGTTTATAGCTTAGAGACAGGAGTGGTGGTGGTGTCGAGCTGACAAGACACCATCCAGCCCACCATCTCCCAAGGAGCTTGTACTTGAGGGCGGAACACCAGCTGAAGAATTAAAATGAAGCATGACAACTAAAGCTGTGGCATATGGCAGATGTAAAGGAGGGAGGAAGGGCTGGAGTATTTAGAATGGGTTTCATAGAAGAGGCAGTATTTGAGCTGTACATGGTTAAATATAAGATGTTGTTGGGGAAAGGGATTTCCAAGGTATAAAATGGTGTGGCGGAGGCATCTGACATCCTCTAACTTCACAAAGGGAGAAAGAATCACCATCATCATCAGCCCAAGGCTGATTGCTCTGAAATGGAGGTCAGACATACCTGCACCCTCCAAACTTTTTTTTGCCAGTTTTGACATCAGCTTTCTCTCTCACGGCACTTTGTACTTCTCAACTGGGTTCAATAATTTGTTGCAGTGGCCACACAGAACTCACAGACCATACTCAGAGTTTGGGGTTTATGGGGAAGCAGCAGTTTACAATTCAGCATCAGGAACAACTCAGGAGGTTTCTTGGCCAGTCCTGTAGGTAGGCCTCTTGCTGGCCCTTGGCCTGGCCTTGGACCTGCTTGGGTAAGTGTTACAAAGCTCTTTAGCTCTGTCACTGTAAGTGCCTGGGGGCCACTCTACCCTGCCAGGAAGCCTTGGCTCAAAGGCACTCAGTTCTCTCACTCCATGGGTTGGTGAACCTAGCTCTGCCAAGTGCTTGGAGGCACCAGCAAGCTTCCTTCTTAGCAGCACTCCAGTCTCTTGCTCCTTGGGCTACACACACACCCCACTACACCATCTCCTGCTGGTCTTCTGGTTCTGTTGCTGCCAGTTCTTTGCCATGCTTGCTGCCACTTCTTACTGGCTTGTGCCACCTCTGGTGTTGCAGCTCTCTGTTTCCTGGGTGTAGGAGATTGCCAGCACAGGAATCCCACATCTAAAGGACATAATCTGCTCTTGCCTCTTTCTTGCTGGTAGTAAGATCCTTCTTTTCTGCATCTGGGATAGCTAATTTTAAGCCTAGTGGGATGGCAAAAACTGATCCATCCCCTCGTTAGGGTTCTGTAAGCCTTATTTGCATGGTCCCACTCCCACAAGGGTTCCATGCATCGTAGTTGCATTATAAGCAAGCTGTCCAATCCCCTCGGTGGACCACAATCACCTTATTTGCATAGTCTCCCCCCAGACATTTGGTGGGAGTTACAAGACTGTGGCAAGAAAGGCCGTACAAAAGTGACCCGTCGCACTGCACAAGGTAAAGGATAAAGCATTTTAGGAATAGGCATGGACAAGTTGGGTGGGGAATTGTAGTCCCTTAGGTGAGGAGGGCAGGGGAGAGTGGCAGCACTTGAAAGAGGTTGGGGTGGTAGGTAGGCCTCAACATCATGAACGGCCATGAAAGTCAGAGCCAGGTTTGCTGTAGGGAGCCTCAAATGTTATGTAGGACTGGAGAAAGCATTCTGGTGGCAGGAGGAGAAAGGATCCAGGGCTGTCATTTAGGAGGCTTTTGAATTTGCCCCAGTGAAAGATAGATAAGGGCCTGCAATAAGGCTGGAAGGGAAGTATTAGGGTAGTGGACAGGAGTTAGGGTCTGAGCAGTAAGGAGTTGAGGAGGAATGAGGTGAAGATGAGTACCTTAAGCAACATGAATTCCATTGAGTTAAGTGTAAACTGGCAGAATTCCCACTTAAGAGATGTTTCTCTTTGTTCCCGTGGTTCCTCTCATACCATGTGTGTTTGTATGTATGTATATGTATATATGTATCTATATGCATCTATATGCATCTGTATGTATGTATATGTATATATATGTATATGTATACATGTATACATATGTATGTATGTATGTATATGTGTATACACAGACATAATTATTTTTGTTGCACAAATTTCAGGTGGTTTTATTACAAATATATTTCTTTTTATTGTGATTTGGGTGAAAGTTTACAGAGCAAATTCACTTTCTATGCAGCAGCTTAGAGACACTTTGTCTCCTGACATTGTCTGTAATTTCCCACAATGCAACAGCTCCCTTCCCACTTCCTCCCCATAGTTACCTCTTCCCTGTGTCCTTCCCTCCCATGTACTCCTGCCTCCTGAGAGCTGTCTCCCTGTGCATAAACAGCCCTTTTATTCGCCCATGATTGTTCTCTCCAACGAGTGTATCTATCTAATGTACATGTTCAGCTCATATGCCTGTCTTTTGTTCGATTGGAAGCATCAGGAGTGCATTCAGTTCCAGACATGAAGGGCAGCTAGGGGCCATAGTCTCAGTGGTTCTATCAGGCTCTATCAGACCAGCAAACCTGGTCCCCCCTTTTTTTTTTTTTTAATTTTGAGTTTTGTGCCACATTGTTCTCCCACTCTGTCCAGGATCTCCTACGTAGATCCCCCTCCAAGTGGTTGACAGTGGTTATACCTTACATTTTATAACCTTATTCTTCAGTGACCCACGAAATATTGCTGATCACCCTAGATCATAGCACTCAGTATGGTCATAGCACTCAGTATGGTCATAGCACTCACTCACTCATTTACTCTCTCACGGGCCTCCTGGCCTGAGTCTCTTGTTGACACCCACCTGTTCAGGATTAAGTGATCCCACCCCACCCACAAGCCTTTGATGATGAAGTATAAAGATTGTTGGACTGAGACTGTAGATGCATTGTGAACATTCATCCCTGGTCTTCCCCTTCTCGTATACCAGATGAGACGGTTAGACTAGGTTATCTTAAATGCCCCAGCCACCTCATCTAGGTTTCTTGTCTGGGCTTCCAAGCTAGACTCCAAATGAAGGCTTCCAACTGGTAGTTTCTAGTTCAACCCCTGCTGAGTATTTGCATTTCCACCCCAGCTATACTGAATCAGAATCTACATTTTAACAAAATCCCTGGGTGATTCTTAGGTATAAATAAGAAGTCCTGCTCTAGACTCTTACTCACTTTAGGTTCTTTGCACACTCTGGACTAGTAGTTGCTTGATTGATGTTGTTTTTAGACCTGAGTTTTGAAGGTTTTCCTCACCTTACACCTACATGTGCATTTGGGAAATAGTGAACTCTACCATCTTGGGGCACCAAGAACAAGGCTAGCAGTTACGGTCTCTTTACTTTGCCAGGAGGCACTTCTGTTGAGTTGGAAAATTGACCTGTTCCTTTTTAGTATTTATCAGTTAGACATGCTGCCAAGCATTTGATATAATGTCAGTATATGGGAACCTAGCACAGCTCTATTCTTAACATTTGTTTTTTGAAATGGAGCCTTAGGGGTCCCACAGCACAATCTTTGTTTCCCAATAGACTCTTTCCACTGTCTCCTTAGCCCATGGGGAGTTGCCTGAAGTAGCTCATTGCACTCACTCATTGATCCTTTTTCTATCCATTTGTCTTCTGAACTCTCCCCAACTTGGTTCCTTATCCTAAACCACATGGGCACCCTGTTTTCTGGCAGCTGACATTTCTCTAGACCAGTGATTCTCAACCCTGGCTGCACATTAGAAATACCTGGGGAGCTTTTAGAAGGATATTGCTGCTCTAACTTCACCCCTAGACTAATTAAATCAAAATCTCTAGGGTGTAGAGTTGAGGTTGTAAGTGTTTTTTGAAAAGCTCCCAGGTGATCCTGATGTGCACCCAGAGTTACACCATTCTGGATGGTTCCAGAGAAGATCCTAATCTTCCTTTGTTTTTTTCTCCTGTCTTCTACCCTGCCCCCCCCAATATTCTACTACCTTAATAGGTACCCCAATTTAAAACCAACGCAGAGACTAAACTAATGGGTCAAAAAGTGTAGGAGGAAAGGAAGGTTGAATGGGAGTGGGCAGCTGCTTATGTTGAGCTACTTTTGTTGGCACAGTTAAAACTATTGTCTTAAAGAACTTTAAAAAGAAGTGTTTTCTTCAACGAATGTTTGCTGGTCTGCTAGTCTGGGTGAGCAGTGAACCCTGCAGTGGTAATCATTGCTTCCCTTCCAGTGAATTTTGAGTAAGAGGCAGTGGGTGCCATGTAGGTGGTTATAGGACAGAATGAAAGCATAAGAATTCAGGTAGCCTGTGATTTGTGGTGTATTTGAGTTATGATGAACTGTACTTAGGGCCACCTGTGTTTTGCTCTGTACATCTTACTGTTAGTAATATGTTCTACAAGCTATGGTGCAGCGAGTAATTTGTTGATGTTACCATTCTCAGATGTCATGTATCCAACATCCTAAGACAAATAAAGATTGAATTTATGAAGATACTGATAATAAAAGGCAATAATAATGAAAACTTAAAAAAAATTCAGGTCAGAACTGACTTACAGTGTGTAGTCGTCAGAATGGAGACCTGTCGTAAGTCAGGGCCTACCTGTAAGGGGAAGTTGAGGCTGAGCAGAACTAGACCTGAGCAGGTCCCGTCTGTCAGAGGGCCATCACTAATCCATCTTAGCAACATCTCACCTCCTTGGCTTTCTAAAATTTTAGTTTTACTGTAAAATATCTATTGAAAAAACACATTTGCCATTTTAGTCATTGTAAGTGTATAGTTCAGAGACGTTAATTCTCTCACCATGTTGTGCTACCATCACCATTATCTGTTTCCTAAAGTTTTACATCATCCCAAACAGAAAATCAGTACCCTTTCAGCAGTAACTCCCATCCCTCTTTCCTCTTAGTCCCTGGTAGCCACTAACAAACTTTTGTCTGCATATTCTAGACATTTTATATTAGTGGCATCATAAAGTATTTGTCCTTTTGTGTCTAAAGTATTTCACTGAGCATAATGTTTTTGTTATGCTCAAATTTCATTATTAAATGAGGTTTTCCAATTTCATTATTATATGAGTGCTTGAACAATATCTCTCAGAAAGATCAGCACAAGGCTGGTCCCCATGAGGCGGAAGTTAAAGATATCCCAAATGTCCAAACTACCGTACCACTCCATCATTTCACACGTTAACTCCTGCTCCTCCTCCCAGTAATTTCCTCCATCTTAGGGTTCTGTATTTTGCTGTAACGCCTCACAGAACTTACAGATACCCAAGGTTCTGTAGTGGTTATGTTTTTGTGTCAACTTGGCTGGGCCTGGTTGAGTGGCTGGTGGTAGTTATTCCCCATGAGGAGACTGGCAATTAACTCCATGGCGGGATCTACCACAAGCAGCTGATAGCTGCCTTTAGGATGTGATCTGCTTCCTGTATATAAGGAGAAGCCTTGGGAATGGTATCTAGCCTTTGGCACTCTTGGACCGTGTATGTAGCCGTGTCGTTACTCAGCAGCCTGCTATGCTCTGCCGACCTTGGGACTTACAGTGGACTTAAGTTAATGGCCTGCCGTGTTTTGGTAACATCGGGACTGTGCCTTTTCACTTGTCAATCTTGGGGCTTCTCAGCCTCAGCAGCCAGCAGCTGTCTGAGTGAAGAAACATCTCAAGCTCCAGTGGGCTGGGTTGGGAGCTGGAGGCAGAGCTGGACCCCAAGGTTGAGGGGCTTTCACCCAGCCCCTAGAGCCTGGCACTTAGAACTTGGACTTAAAGCCTCCAAATTGTAAGAATAAACTCCTGTTTGTTAAGGCCATCCCATTTGTGGTGTATTTTTGTCAGAGTGGCACTAGGTAACCGGAACAGGTTCATCTCACGTAGTGGTGGTGGAGGCTGGCAGGCTGGCGAGTCCCAGGTCTGTGAGTAGGTCTGGAGGATCCTCCCATTTCTCAGGATTTGATGAATTTCGATCAGCAGATCAGATGACGGCTGCTGTCCCAAATCCAGGGGTGAGATGAAGATGAGCCAAGACACAAAACCAGAATAAGAGGAAGGCAAATCTTCCCAGGAGATTCGTAAGTCTACCCTCAAGGAAGCAAAGCGTGGTGATTTGAATTATACCCTCCAGCAAGGCAGGACTCAAGATACATTCCACCTGTGTTGCTCCAACAGAAGTAACCTAAGTGGATGGCTTTAACAATCAGCAGCTCATGGCAAGTCCCATCACAGAGTCGATTGCCAGTCATAATAGGGAATGACTACTACCAGCTGCCCAGCCAAGTTGATACCTGACCTTAAATACCACGCCACCCCAAACAGGCATGGATAATGGGATTTACAATACATCACAGAATGGAGGACAGTGGCTAGAAGGGCCACATCAAGCAATTCACTGCAATGAGATTCTTCCATATTATAACATGTATCAGGACTTCATTTCTTTTTATAACTGAGCAATATTCCATTGTACATATGTGTACCAGATTTTCTTTATCCATTCATCTGTTGATGGACGCTTGGGTAGTTTCTACCTTTTGGCTGTTGTGGAAAATTTTATAGTGAACATTAATGACAAGTAACTATTTGAGCCCTTGCTTTCAAGGCCCTTGGTTAGATAGATACCCAGGAGTGGAATTACTGTGTGTCACTCCCCTCCCTGGCTTCTGAAAAGTCATATTTACATCAGTATCAGCCTTGTACTTCCCAGTCCTATGGTGTAGGGTAGGTAGGTGAGGCTGTGTATCTCCTGTTACACTGATAAGAAAGAGGAGCTGTAGGGAGCTCAGGTTCTGACCCATGGCACTCACCATGGCTGTGGTAGAGCCAGACCAGACACAACTCAGGATTCCTTACTTCCATTTAAGTGCTCTTTCCTCACTATCCTCTTTTCTGAAATTCCCTTCCTTCCTTTTCCTCTCTTGTCTCCCTCTCCCTTTAGCCTTTCCTCCTTCCTTCCTTCTTCTCAGATCTGGATGAGGAGGTGAGCATGTTAAGAGAAAACTTGAGTTTTTGTTTTTAAAGTTCAGAATTGGAAGAGTTTTAGGTTCCATAGATGCCAGGCATGAGATCATTCTTAGAGATACCCCTGAAGGAAAAAAATATCTGCTTTTGTCTTTTTATTCTTAGTTCCACATGAGGCTTTTTATTCCAAAGAGAAGAGAGATGGCTGGCTTCTCTTTCTGCTCTTTGGTGAAAGCTTTAGAAGAATCTGGTCAAAGGAGACCTTTCCTACCACTGTGGGTCACATGTAGGTGGCATGTCACTTTGCCTTTCTTGGGTCTTCAGTGGCGGTCCCAGGGTTCTGTTAGGCTGTGTTAGTGAAACACTCTCATCCCTGCTTTAAGCCTTTGGGAGAAGGTGTGCATAGGAGGTTGGACATGGAGAAGGAGCCAGAGCAGGTCGCAGAACTTTGACTTATAGGCTCGTGCTCCAGTCCTCATCCCCCTTGCTAGCCTTTACCTGGTCTGGCCCATCACCTGCTCTCTGCTTTGCAGGAAGGAGGAAACAGTGACTGTCTATCCTGCGGATGTCGTGCTCTTTGAGGGGATCCTGGCCTTCTACTCCCAGGAGGTACGCGATCTGTTCCAGATGAAGCTCTTTGTGGATACAGATGCGGACACCCGGCTCTCCCGCAGAGGTGCGTTCTAAACATGAACGGTGGCCCTTTTGGCGGCCACTTCCTCCCCTCCCCGCCCCCTTAAGTATGAAGCCCATGCTTTCCCTGAAGCAGCTGTGTGGCTGCCTGGCCCAGCCTAGCTGTGTCAGTGCTGCCCCAGGATGTCCTGCTGCCCAAACACTTGGTGGCGTTTGAGAAGAGATTAGTCACGTTACTCTTTTGGAGAAGAAGAGGCTTGTGAGGTTACCAGGATGAAATAAGTTAATATTCTGGTTTCACTGGGAAAAAAGTTTGATTAAGTGTTCAGTTCCTATGAATTTTCCAGTAGGGCATCAGACTCTAGATGGGAAATCGACTGTAGGACATCTGGGGCGAGAACACCCCATGCCAAGGGTGCTGGGGAGTTACTCCCACTGTCTGCTTCTCTGGGCCTTTATTATCTGGAAAGCTTTATGGAGGTTTTGTCATTCTTTCCAGCCAGCTCAGGAGCCAAGTCATTTGTTCTTTCTGCAGGCCTTCTTAAATGTGTGTCTGTGCAAGGCCCTGTGCTCAGTGTAGTGACAGTGCAAAGATGGTCTTTGAGCAGGTTGCTTCCATTAGGAGAGATGAGACAGCTTCATGGAGGAAGTGGGGTCAGTTCTTAGATACAGTGGAGTAGGGCGATGATGTAGACAACCTCAGTAGTGAACAATACAAATCTAGACAGAGGCTTGTTCCAAGAGCATGGGATGGCTGGAGCATGAGCGTGTTTAGGGAGACACTGGAAAGTAACTTGGGGCCAGGTTGAGGACTGGAGGGCTGAAGACTTCTGAATTGGCTTCTAGTAGATGGTGTGAGCTACCCAGGGGTTTTGAGCATGGGAAGTAAAATGACCACTGCTCTGTATGGAAGGTTATTCTGTCAGGGGAAATGTAGGTGAAGCCTACAACCTGGGAGGTGATGGGAGACTGTTCAGGACTAGAGTAGAATTGTCATCCTTAGGAAGTAGGAAGGGGAATGGAAAGGTGGGGGGAACTGAGAATAAAATTAGCCGAGTTAGACTCGACAGGGCCCAGCAAGGACATTGGGGGAGGGAGGGGTGTTGGCTGAAGAGAGGAATGAAAGGTTTTGAATGTGCATTACGCGGATGAGAGAGTAAGACACAGGAAATGACATTTCTAGCTCCTAGTCATGGAGCATGTGATTGGCAGATTCAAATTTCATTTGCTCCAGCATAAAGTCTGTGAAATTCTCTTCTTGGTTCATGAAATAACTGTAATTTTTCCATTTCAGTCCTGTCATTACAAGAACTGTGAATATAACTAGTAAAGTGTGAATAGATTCCTGAATTTTGCCCCTCTAAGGAGGAGCTCTGGTAGCATAATGCCTAAGGCACTTGCCTGCTAACCAGACGGCTGGCGGTTCAAACCCACCAGCCACTCGTCGGAAGGAAGATTGGGCAATCCTACTTCCGTAGTGATACTGCCTCGGAAACCCAAGGAGGGGTTGCTATGAGTCAGGGCCGACTCGACGGCAAACAACAACAACAACAACAACAACAAGTAGTACATAGGAGCTCTGGTAGCATAGTGCCTAAGGCACTTGACTGCTAACCAGAAGGCTGGTGGTTCAAACCCACTAGCCACTCCTCGGAAGGAAGGTTGGGCAATCTACTTCCGTAGTGATACTGCCTCAGCAACCCAAAGAGGGGTTGCTATGAGTTGGGGCCGACTCGACGGCACATAACAACAACAACAGGTAGTACATGATACGTACTTTCTACTAAGTCTTTTGATCCCAGGTGGGGTGTGGGAGAGGGTAATGCTGTGCAATAGAAAAAAAGTGTTGGTATGAGAATTAAAACAAACAAACAAAAAATCCATTGCCATCAAGTTGATTCTGACTCACAGCATCCCTGTAGGGCAGAGTAGAACTATCCCCGTAGGGTTTCCAAGGCTGTAAACCTCTACAGAAGCAGACTGCCGCATCTGCTCCTGTTGAGTGGCTAGTGGGTTTGAATCGCCAACCTTTTGGTGAGCAGTGCCATCAGGGCTCCCAGAATGGGAATTGGGAGGGCCTGTATTTTAGTCCCAGCAGACCTTTGAGCTAGCTTTATGACCTTTGGACTTCCCCAGGTTTGGTTATCTTTATGGGTAGTATGGGGGAGACAAGCTTGCTTTGTAATGTCATGGCTTTGGCCAGGCAGAGTTTCATGGTCTTTTTGGTAGATAATTGTCCCTGACACGTCCGATGCCTCTGCCCCGGCCCTGATTTGTCACCTGAATCTGTAGTCCTAGGTCTTTGTTGCTGATAAGCTTGTTGTCCACATTAGCTTGTTAGAATTTATATATTGCAAAAAATCAGAGCATTTGGAGTTAGGTGGACTGGGCTTAAACCCTGGTTTCACTATTTAGTAACTTTGGGCAGATTATGTCTTGAGCTCTTTGTGTTGTTGCTCTTGTTTGAGGCCGTTGAGTTGATTTTCCAATTCATAGAGACCCGAGGTGACAGAGTTGGACTGCCCTATTGGGTTTTCTAAGCTGCAGTTGTCACAGAAGTGTACCACCAGCTCTTTCTCCTGTGGAGCTGCTAGGTGGATATGAGCCAATGGATTTGAACTGTTAACCTTTTGGTTTGAACTCAGCCATTGTGCCACCAGGGCTCTTTTTACCTCATTAAATAATGATTGGGTTAAAAGATGATTAAATTAATGTGTACTTCTTGGGGAGCTGTGAAAATCATATGGGTAAATGCCTGGCAGTGTGCTGGCATGTTGGTGTTAGTCGCTCAGTGATAGTTGATAAGAATAGCATTATTAAGAGCATGGTAGATACTGAGGGTCAGAAATCTGCTTCTACTGAGGTGGTAGGTGTTGTTCTGTTTCCTGTCAGGACCTCTGAATGCGTCTGGTCTGGTATGTCTTTAGGAGCTCGTAACACCTGGGGTTGATGTTAGTCTAGCAGGTGGTATCAGAGCTCCAGGAGATGTAGTGATGCAGTACAGGAGTGGGTGCAAGGTATTGCCCAGGAAATTAGAACCCAGTTTTGAGCAGTGTTACTTGAAAATAAACTGACTCTTGGTTCATAATTTAAACAGATAATCAAGTTGTTGTTAGGTGCTGCTGAGTCAATTCTGACTCATAGCACCCCTCTGTAGGATAGAACGAAACATTGCCCAGCCCTGCACCACCCTCACAATCCTTGCTATGCTTGAGCCCATCACTGCAGCCACTGAGTCAATCCATCTCATTGAGCATCTTCCCCTTTTCCATCTGATCTTCCATTTACTGAGTATGACATCCTGCTCCAGGGACTAGTCCCTTCTGACAACATGACCAAGTAGATGAGACAAAGTCTGGCCGTTCTCACTTACAAGGAGCATTCTGGCTGCACTTCTTCCAGGACAGATTTGTTTGTTCTTTGGGCAGTCTGTGGTATTTTCACTATTCTTCACTAACACCGCAATTGAAAGGCATCAGTTCTTCTTTTTTCCTTATTCATTGTCCAGCTTTCACATGCATATGAGGTGACTTAAAATACTGTGGCTTGAGATAGGTGCACCTTAGTCTTCAAAGTGACATCTTTGCTCTTGAACACTTTAAAAAGAGGTCCCTTGCAGCAGATTTGCCCAGTGTAATAGGACATACGATTTTTTGACTACCTGATTCCTTGGGTGTTGATAATCATAGTGTAAATTAAACTGAAAGTCCTCCTTTCTTTCTGGAACTGGGATCCTTGTATGAAGTGGGGGAGACACCTAAGGTGATTGTGGCCCACTCTGGGGGTTTCTTAGGCTCATTTCTATAACCCCTGTCTGTCCTGATGCTGTCTTGGATGTAGGTTGCTGTTTTCTTATTTCACATCTGTGTCTTCACATGCCACCCACTGGCCAGCCACTTTACTGGCAGACAGTGGAACTTTTCCAAATGCTATTTCTGTAAACTCGTTCTCTCTCCATGTAGGACAGAAAGCATGTGTGGTATGTGCTTTGTGGGTGTGTGGTGTGGTATAAGGTGAGGGGAAGAGGTGGGTTAGTCAGGAGCCGTTTCTTAATGTGAAGACATTTCAGGAGACTTGAGTTAGCTCTGTGATTTTGCCCATCTGTTTGCCATACTGTGCTGGACATAAGACCCTCACAGTCTACGGGGAAGCTTAGGTGGGAGAGATGTGCCTTTGAGTAATGCAGCCTTGGAGAGACTTACCTCCTGCCCATTGGGATCCCTCGTGCCCTAGGAAATTTATTTCCAGCAGTGTGCGACTTCACCTTCCCTCTGTGTATGTTGCACCCTAACCCACACTTGAATACAGAGCCAGGAGAGGAACTGGGGTGGGAGGAAGGTGACGTAGGACTAATGACTCCTATTCTCTCTGTGCCGTATTTCTGTGTGCCTAGTTCACATAGAATTAGGGCTACAGTGGGCCTTCACGGATATTCCATCTCATCTTTTACTATGGAGTAGGAAGTTTCTTCACCTGATTTCTAAAGTGAATTGACTTAACCATTAAGGAGTTATGCTTATTCTGGGTCCTTTTAAATGTTGTTCTTGGCTTTGGCTGACCAAAAAGAGCATGGCTGGATTTGGAAGGACTGAATCAGAAGGCCAAGCAGAGAATGTGGGTAGACTTGTAGCTTCCTGTTCTTTTACTCTGTCCTCTAGAGGGGTCTGTGTTGGCTAAGCAAATGGGTGGGGTCAGACTGATGATGGGAGAGATGACTTTAAGTCCCTGAAGTTTCCATTGGTGCCAGGACTTTGTTCTGACTCATTCACTGGCTTGGCCCAGTTTCCTCACCAGATCTGTGGAGCAAGCAGTTCCATGTAGGGGACTGGCTGCCTCTGTGTTGTCCTTGGCTCAAAGAGGGAGTCCTAGTCTGTTTAAGTTGGTAATTCTATCAAAGGCTCTTGGGGACAGAGATGGGTAGTGTCTTTTTTTATCCAAATTATACATTTATTCTTTCTCTACTTTTTTTTCCTCTTTTCATTTTGTTACCATTGAGAACATACACAGCAGAATGTATGACAATTGGACAGTTTCTACATGTAC